CAGATCTTAGCATTGAGATCTTTGAGATCATACAGGAAGTGGATCTAACCTGATAATGCAATCTACGAGGCTTCCACCAAGGTGTCCTTTAAGCTTGAAAAACAAGCCAGAGCTCCTTTGGTAGAGAAAAGTGGGAAGGGCATTCCAGGTAGATGAAAAAGTGTAAATAAAGGCATGGAGGTGTGAAACAGCGGTCTCTATGGGGAGATGAGGAGGGGTTTAGTATGTGTTTCTGCTGCATCACTTGGGTGGTGATGCAGAGCTAGTTGGGGTGTTATGAAGCCTACACTCTGGTGTTTTTTTCTTCTTCTTCTTCTATACGCTATAAAATAGACATCTGTACAGGACGCAGTGGGGACACAGAGGAGGGAGTGAATACTTGCACCTGGCGGCCAAGTAAGACATAGGTGTTACTGTATTTTAATTATTTGTATGAGAGGAGACTGAAGAAGTTGGCTTAAAGCTCAACTTTCAGAAAACTAAGATCATGGCATCTGGTCCCATCACTCCATGGCAAATAGATGGGGAAACAGTGGAAACAGGGGCTGACTTTATTTTTTGGGGGGCTCCAAAATCACTGCTGATGACGTCTGCAGCCATGAAATTAAAAGACGCTTACTCCTTGGAAGGGAAGTTATGACCAACCTAGACAGCATGTTAAAAAGCAGAGACATTACTTTGCCAACAAAGGTCCCTCTCGTCAAGGCTATGGTTTTTTCATTAGTCATGTATGAATGTGAGGGTTGGACCATAAAGAAAGCTGAGTGAAGAATTGATGCTTTTGAACTGTGGTGTTGGAGAAGACTCTTGAGAGTCTCTTGGACTGCAAGGAGATCCAACCAGTCCATCCTAAAGGAGATCAGTCCTGAGTGTTCATTGGCAGGATTGATGTTGAAGCTGAAACTCCAATACTTTGGCCACCTGATGCAAAGAGCTGACTCATTTGAAAAGACCCTGATGCTTGGAAAGATTGAGGGCAGGAGAAGGGGACGACAGAGGATGAGATGGTTGGATGGCATCACCGACTCAATGAAGATGAGTTTGAGTACACTCTGGGAGTTGGTGATGGACAGGGAGGCCTGGCATTCTGTGGTCCATGGGGTCGCGAAGCGTTGGACACGACTGAGCGACTGAACTGAACTGATGCTAACAGCAGTGCCATTTATTTCCCTGCTTGCGATGTGTCAGCAGAGCACTTTGCATGCATTACCTCATTAACTCTCACAACATCCTGTGAAAAAGGTGTTATTACGTCTATGCATAAGCGAGAAAGGAGGCTCAGTCACACGGCTGAATGTCACACATTTCCCAACGTCACACGGCTAGAAAGCTAGCCCAGATCGGAATAGTTTTTAAGAATTCTAGATTTTACTCTGCTGAGCCCTTCTTGAGGTCAAGGGTCATGTTTTTTATTTTTCTGTGCCCAGACCAAAGTCTTAGGAGCCTCCTAGTCAGCATTAGTTGAAGCCTTTCTCCAAACGAAAGCCCGTGGTGACGTCACTGAGAAACCTCCTGGCCGGAAGGGGACGCTGTAGGCAGCTCAGCTCGGCGCGGCCGGTTGCGGGCGCCTAGCTTCCCCAGTCTTTTCAGCCAATCCCTGCGCTCCGAGAGAGCCGGCGCCAGTGGGCGGGTCCCGGGGCTAGGCCCCGCGGGCCGCTGGGAGAGGCGGTGTCTGGGCTCCCGGCGCTCGGTTGGAGGGCGGGGTCCGGACGGTGGTGTGCGGACTTTCGCGCAGGTGAGCAGGCGTCCCGGCAGGCGGTCCCTCTTCCGGAGCTGCTGCCGGGCCGCCCGTAGCTGTGGTGACGCCTCGAGGCCTTGACCTCTGAGTTAGGGGAGGGGTAATGCCTAGCGTCGGCTCTGGCCCTGACCAGGCCTGAGAAGAAGAGATGGCCCCCTTTTCTTCCCCGGGCTCGGCGTGAGCGTCTGAGCCCCCTGCGAACACTTAGCGGTCAGGGCTTCTCGGCCTTAGGCACGTGGGTGAGGACGGGCCCGACGAGGTCGTGAGCGTGGGGGGACAGGGGCCGGGGAAACCAGAGAAGGGCGAAGGGCAGAACCTTGGACCCTGACCTCCTTAACGCTCTCATCCCTGGACCGGCCTCAGTGACGGTCAGGATTGATTTTTCCACCCAGTCTGGTCTCCTTTGCCTTTGTTAGCGGTTCTCAAATCTCCTGACTGCAGTTTCTCATCTCACTGGGCCTCCAGGGCCCCCGGTACAAGGGCAGGTTTCCCTGCGACCCGTTTGACCTTTTCCCGCTCAGACTCCCTCCGTGCGGGGCTGGAAACAGCCTCACGGTATTTGCCAGACACTTTGCCTCTCCTTTTGACCCCTATGGGATGACTTGTTAGAGTATCTAGCTTCCTGTGACCAGCAAAGTCACCTGCTGTGTTCCTGCCGCCTTTTGAGGGCGGGTGGTTGAATGACTGTGTTGGTTTTACACAAGCCAGTTGCTCATTCATTCAAGAAACTTTTTGGGCATTTAATGCCGGACGGGGTCGGAAGAATGGGGGATGGATAGGCCACAGTGGGAACCCGCAAACATGGGCCTTGCCCTTTTGGACCGCAAAGTGTTTTGAGGAAGGCACACAAATGGGGTAGGCCAGCCCAATGTGTGACACAGACAAAGTGTCTAATGCTCTAAATGTTGAATAAATGAATGGATTAAGTTGTTTGGGGATGATTAGAATGTGAACCACAGAGGGAGACCTTGGGCTGCATATGAGAGAGAAAAGCATGGTGGAGTTATTCTTCATATATGTTAAGACAAATGGGTGATCTGCGTGGAGAGTTGCTGTTCAGGGAACGTGTTTATTCACAGAAGACTTGCTTACAAGACAGGAAAGAAAATGAAGAAGTATTAGGTTTGAGATTCTTCAAGGGTCCTTATCATTTCACAAATCTCTGAGTGTATAACAAATCTTAGAGTTTTCAAAAAGAGAAGCTCTTTAAGTAGTGAAGTGCCAAGTTGATGGGGAAGAATTGCAGGAAGCTGTCTTCAAGACCAGGATTTGGACAGAAGCCAGTCCGTAGGGTCACAAAGAGGCGGACAGGGCTGAGTGAAGAGAACTGTGCGCTCACACACACACATACCTATTTGCAGTGTGTTCTTTCCAGTTGAAGGAGCATAGGTGTTGAAGATGGAGAGGCCTGGGTTCCAATTAGTGGCTCTGTCATTTCTGGTGATCTTGGGCCAGTTAAGGTTATGTTCCTGAGCCTTTGTGGCCTTCAACAAAAATCTGGACTAGTAATTCCTTCCTTATAGAGGTGATCTTCACCTGTGAAGATCAGGTGATGACTAGTGTGTGAATTGTCCGGCGTCGTGCCTGGTGCTAAGACAGGGACTCATAGAGCAACCTCAGAGCTGCTCCTGCATTTTTTTCCCTCGTGATGGTCCATAATCTTGGGTCCACAAAATGCTGGGATTCCTCCAAAGAGAATTGGAACCAAAGAGAGAGGGAGAGAGTCATCTGATCTTTGGTGAGGTAGACCAGAGACAGCTGAGCTGGAGAAAGACCTACAGGGGTACAAAGGGAATGATGTTTCAGTTGAGACTTTTGGGCACATTACTTAACCCTCTGGTTATGCCATGTATCACAGAGTGGACGTGTATTGGAGGACATTGTATATGTAAAGTGCTTACCCAAGGTCTGGCACTTAGTGCACAATAAATGGAGCTATCACTATCATGATAATTGTGAGTAGTCCTTGATAATTGTTAATAATAATCATTTGAGCCTGAATGGCCATTAGAGTGACCCACTTTGTGTGTTTTTACATTATTTTGGTGTTGTCTTCATTTCTGGAAACTCTAGGGCCATTCCACTTCTTTGTTTTTCTGCCGTGGTTTGTACAGTGTTGTGTTTTGTTTTATGGAAAAAAAAAATGTGAAACTGTTAGTCACTCAGTAGTGTCTGACTCTTTGCAACTCCATGGACTGTAGCCTGCTAGGCTCCTCTGTCCATGGACTTCTTCACGCAAGAATACTGGGGTGGGTTGCCATTTCCTTCTCCAGGGGATCTTCCTGGCCCAGGGATCGAACCCACGTCTCCTGCATTGGCAGGCAGATTCTTTATTAGCTGCTATTTATTTGGCTGTGCGCTGCCTCAGTTGTGGCAAGCAGAATCTCTAGTTAGTGGCATTTGAACTCTTAGTAGCCGCATGTGGGATCTAGTTCCCTGACCAGGAAGCGTACCCAGGCCCCCTACATTGGAAGCGTGGAGTCTTAACCACTGGATCACCAGGGAAGTTCTGTACAGTGGTTTTTTTTTTTTTTTCCAAAAACATAGAATTTTCATTTTCAAGTTCTAGTGTGTTCAGAGAATGTATAATTGGTTGGTGATATTTTTAAAGAGCTCATTATGTAAATATGAGGATATGGCTTTGGTTGAAGAGAGTGTTTTGAAAGAGGTTTGGTCAGCAGATTTGAAGAGGTTCGTCTAGTCAGGAAAGTTGGGTTCAGAATAGGAAAAAACCATTATCTCTTTAGCTAAAATCCAGATTGGTTGGGTAATGGTTTTGGCTGCCTAAATATGTTCCTTCTTCTTTACACGGGGCAAAGGACAGGAGACTCACAGTGGGATTGTGTGTGGTGGGGAAGGGGTGGCTAGCTCTGCTGATGGAGGAATTGTATAGAACAGAGGAGGGCTCTTACCGACTCTTGAAACATTGGCAAACTGTGCAGGGAGGGCCTGGGGTCACCAGCAGGCTTGAAGCTTTATCAGGTAAGGCTCAGAGGGTCTCTTGTGGGGAACACTGCCATATGTGGTTGTGTAACTGTCAAAGAGTGTAGTCCATAAAATAGACGCTCGTCCTCTTCCCTAACACAGAATCTTCTGACGTTGCCTAGATGGTTTCAGGGACCCCACTGTTGCTTAAAGCGGGGTGCCCTCTTGTGTTGCTCTGCACGGGGTGGATGCTCAGGCCGCCTGGTCAGCGGGCTGTCCGTGCTCGGTGGGCGGGCGCGGCTTCCGCCTAACGGCCTTGTGCTCTCCTGCAGGTGCCATGTGGCCTGTGCTTTGGACCGCGGTGCGCACCTATGCTCCCTATGTCACCTTTCCTGTGGCCTTCGTGGTCGGGGCTGTGGGGTACCACCTGGAATGGTTCATCCGGGGGAAGGAGCCACAGCCTGTGGAGGAGGAGAAGAGCATCTCAGAGCGCCGGGAGGAGCGCAAGCTGGATGAGCTGCTCGGCAAGGACCACACCCAGGTGGTGAGCCTTAAGGACAAGCTGGAATTTGCTCCTAAAGCCGTCCTAAACAGAAACCGCCCGGAGAAGAACTAATGGAGGACTCAGGGCCCGATGGGGCCTTCCATGGGCCATGGCTGGTCCTGCCACCACGTCGACCCAGCCCCAGAACCCATGTCTGATTTGCTTTATTGCTGCTTCTGGCCCCGCCCACACCCCCACAGCCGCGCACACACTGCCTCTGCTATGGCGAGGCAGACACGCTGGAAGCGGAGGGGCCAGTGAAGAGGAAGGCCTGGGAGGATTCTGGCCTGAAGGTTGCCTCAGCTGGATGGTGGCCACAACTGCCTGGGCTTCTGTGCTGCTGGGCGCACCACTGGGGGGAGAGTTACGAAACGAACACTGGCTGTTAGTCCCGGTGGGAAGGTGGTTTGGCCTCCAGTGGGAGTGGCTGGGATTGGGGTGGTGGGAGAGTTCACAGATCTACCTGGCTCTCTTAACTAGCTTGCCCTGTCCTTTGTGCTCATTCTCCCTGAAATCCTGTCCTGGCAGCTCAGGGAGGGGATTCCCCTGGGAAGGAATGCTGTTTTCTGTTCTTGGGAGCTCAGACTGTTTGCCTTGGGGCAGGTGAATTAGCTTGAAAACAATCACCATCTTTAACCCCCCCCCCCATTACTGTATAGTGCAAAACTTGATTAAAGTGGTGTCTGAGAACCATTTTGATCTAATCCTATCTTCCAGGTGGTGTTTGGGGTCTCCTTAGGAGTTATGTAAGTGCAGACATCTCCAGGTAGGATAACATTGGCCTTTAACTAAAGACTTCAGGGCCCTGGAGCTTTGTTTTACTATTGTGGTTGTGTTGGATCCTGGAGACAGTGAGTCCTGGAGGTGCAGGTTCCCATGGACATTTTTATCATGATAACAAGAGGCTTATAGACTTTCAAAGTCTAAATGAGAGTAGACCAGGGAGCTTGACAATTAACATCAAATTTTCCAACTTCATATTCATATGCACACATCAAAAGTAGTATATATACATAATATTTGGTAGGAGGTTTGCAAAATGGGCTCTAGTACAGATAAAAAGGTAACATTTTGGTATTTTTCACTAATTCTTGGCCTAGTTGTTTTTAGATACTTATCATTGCTGTACATGTAATTTTATATTCTCTTTTTACATAGTATTTCATATCGGAATTATTTTCCCATCTTGTCACATGGTCTTCATAACCCTAATTGTTTCCAGTTGCCCATCAAGTGGAGCTATAGCATAGTTTGTTTTTTAACTGTTTCCCTATCGCTGGACATGTGGGTTGTTTTTGATTGTTCACTCAGAAATACTGCCAAGAGTATCTTATGTGAGGCTTTTCCTGCGTTTTGGAATACAGGAGAGGGGTAGGGACAGTAAATGGCATTCTGGGTGAAGTGGGATGATTAATTTAAGGGTCTTAATGGGTAACAACTGAACATCTGCCCTGAAGGGCGGTTGGAGCTTATACCGAATGCTGCCACTAAAGCTGTTGTCAGTGAGGTTGGAAAGGGTGACAGTAGAGAGCAAACCTGTTGCCTTATGAAGTCAGTTGACCTTCAGCCCGAGTGAGCAAAGGCAAGTAGTGTGTTTGATGAAGAATGAACTGCCTTAAAAGGGGGAGGGCGTTTGCCCTGCTTCTCACCTCAGGATTTGAGGCCTGATGGTGTTACCAGGTGGGGGAAGGTAGGACTCCTGAACAGGTAGAGGTTCTGGCTGTGGCGTGGGGGGAGCAGGGGATGCCGAAGATGGTAGCCAGAGGAGGGGGAAAATCAAGTCGGTGGCTTCCCCCTCAGTCACTGGAGCCTGGTGGGAATGTTGAAATGAACTGCTGTTGCTTCTCAGGGAGTAAATTTGGTGGGGAACCTGGGGGTGGTAGGATCTGCTACTGAAATAAGGATGAGGTTTCTGGTTCTGAAAGGATGTGCTGAGGTCAGTTTGGTTACGGGCTGGAGGCGACGCAGGCCTCCTCAGCAGGCCAGTGCTGCCCCCCTGTGGCAGTCCTGAGTACCACCAAGCCTGGGTATCTTCCCTGGACCAACACTCAGGCCTGTAGGGGTCAGTGAGGTGTCAAATGAGAGGCTGGGGCAGGCTAGAAAGCACAGGCCCGCCTGAAGGGGGCAGTGGCTGGGCAGCTTCTTCCAGTCTGTGCTGCTTGCTTGACCAGAGATACCAGATTTTTATCTGTATTTTTTTTCTAAAAGATACTAGAAATTTAGATTTTTGTGGATTTTTTTTTTGGCATGGAAACTTCTGATTTTTAAATGTTGACAATTTATTTTTTTTAAAAATTCTAAGTATACTCACATACCCGTAGGGTTAATTTGACCTGGTGACTGCCAGTTTGCCACCTGTCAAGCTGCCCCTTGCGTTCTAATGAAACCTGAGAGATGTGCTTTATTTTTAAGCGATCATCTAACAATTGTGGCAAATATGAGATCCCAGGAGTGGTTTCCCTTGAAACACTTTGGGGCATCCTGCATATATGTAGTTTAATATCAGCCTAAGGAAAACATTGGAGGACTTCAGAAAACATAACAGAAATAACACCAAAAACATTTTCCCACGGATGAGGACATTCTTGGGTTTTCAGATGTTTTAGAAAAACCATGCTGGCCCTGCTGTACCTCCTTCCAGTGCCTGGCGGAGGAAGCCCTGTCCTTGGGAATGCAAGTTGCTCCCGTTTCCTAGTCTCACTTTGTGCCCCCTTTAAGTAATTTTATTTCGGAGGGCTTGCCCTCACTGAATTTCTGCCTGTAGCAAGTCTATTAATATTCCCAGCTGGCTCTTGCTTTCCCACAGGCTGAGCTCTACTGCTGTGTGGGGCTCTGAGATAGCGCCTGCTTTCTTGCCTCTGCTCAGGTAGTGTGAGGCAGCAGGGTGTTGTTTTTTGTTTTGATGTGGACCATTTTTAAAGTCTTTTTGGGAATGTGTTACAATATTACTTCTGTTTTTTGCTTTGTTTTTTTGTACATGAGACATGTGGGATCTTAGCTCCCTGACCAGGGATCGAACTCACATCTCCTACACTGGAAGGGGAGGTCTTAACCGCTAGACTACTAGGGAAGTCCCAAGCAGCAAGCTTTCCGTGGATTTGACAAACGTGGGCCAGACTTGTTGGGACCAACCAAGGCATGGACTGGTATTCTTCCACACTTTCTGATCCCCTGAAACATACTAGTGAGCAGATGTACTTGGGGTTTGCCTCCCCACCCCCGGTAATAGTGGTGGCTTTGTTGTTGTTTAGTCACTAGTTGTGTCTGACTCTTTGCGGCTCCGTGGACTGTATCCCGCCAGGCTCCTTTGTCCATGGGGTTTTTCAGGCAAGAATACTGGAGTGGGTAGCCATTTCCTTCTCCAGTTGATCTTCCCGACCCCCGGATTGAACCTACATCTCCTGCATCGGCAGGCAGACTCTTTACTGCCGAGCCACCAGGGAAGCCCAGTGTGGCGTTCGAGCAGCGCTAGCCTGTCTGAGCACGTCAGGGCTCACTTCTCTGCCTCCAGGGGCCTGCTGTCTGGTGCTTTTCCACTCCCTCTCTTGCCTTTCCTCTGCCTGTTGCTGTGTTAGCGCAAGTCAGCTGGGCAGCTGCCAGGACAAGCCAGCCGGGGGCCCTCTGACCCCTGTCAGCTTGCCAGGGCCCAGGCTGACGAGGCTGTCAACTGAGCGAAACACCATGAGATTAGACTCCCCAGAGTCACTCGGGAACCAGGCAGTGAAAACCAAGAGGCTTGCTCGTGTCTTATCTCACTTTTCCTTTTCCCCTCTGGCATGGGTCTCTGGGCACTTGTAGGATGGTGAGCCAGGGCTGTGTGGTACAGTGAAAACAAAGTGGATCCCAGAGGTCGACAGATGTATGATGCTGCCTCAGCTGCTGGCTGAATGACGTAGCCTTTCTGAGCTTCAGGTGTCAGTTACCTGGTAAACAGGAATAAGAAGACCTGTTTTTGCTGGGTTGTTGCAAAGCTAAGATATCATATGTAAAGTTCTTAGCAGAGCCCATGGCAATAGGTAGGTGTTCAGTAAGTGTTGGCTGCTTTAGTTTCTTTGCAAGAAAAAGAGTTCCGTGTATCCTTGTGATCCTGGGGAGCTGGGATCAGGAGGACAGAGCAGCCGCTGTGTCTGGGAGAGTGATCCTGGGACCCGCCCTCAGAGGTCTGGTGGTCCGGGGCTTCTGGGGGAGTGTTTTACAGGAGTGACTGCCATGTCCCAGAGCCAGGCTGGCTAGGGGAGTGCAGGCTTCGACCTGTGTTGCTAAGTAGTAGTCACATCGGCGCTGTCTCAAGGTCAGAGACGAGAAGTGGGGAGCAAGGTGTGGGGGAGCACCCGAGAGTGTCGCCCCTCAGGATGGCTGGAACAGGGAGCCTTGGAGGCACGAGAATGGTGTGACCTCCACCTCTGCTGGCCTTGGAAGGATGGGGATACCGCTGTCCTCCCTGTTGTAGTGTAAAAAGAGTGAGAAGCCAACTTAGAGCTTCAGAAACATGCGAGTGCTCTTGTATCCTGGTAAAATCCCCCTTTTATCGAATGGGGATGGCAGCCAGTCTGATAAAGGAATAGACATAAATGCTCCTCTGTGCTTTTCCTGAACTGTCAAGAAAAAGCCACTGGAGGAATCAGCTTTAAGAGTAAAGAGGCATTATTAATAATTAGTATGTATCATTTTGCTTCCTGTTCCATGGGTACCTTGATGTACTTCAGTCAGTTCAGCCGCTCAGTCGTGTCTGACTCTTTGCGACCCCATGGACCGCAGCGCGCCAGGCCTCCCTGTCCATCACCAACTCCTGAAGTTCACTCGAGCTCATATCTATTGAGTTGGCGATGCCATCCAACCATCTCATCCTCTGCATGTACTTAAAAACTGTTTATTCCTTTTGAATTAAGTTTGTTAACATTAGTTATCTGTTTATCAAATCCTTCTCAGTGCAGGGATAAACCTTGGCTTTGTTTCTGTTTAAAAATTCCGAATGGGTCCTCCGCATATTTCTGGTATTTTTAAACATATTTACTAGAGTCCCAGAAAGGGCAGTTCTTCTCTCTAGAAGAGCCCAAGTCCTTCGTGTCCTTACGCCCCTCTCCACTGCCCCTGTTGCACTTCCAACCCCAGCTCCCTTGTCCATTTCTGTTTGGTTCCGTGCCTGAGCTGCTTAGCGCAGTGGGAGAATTGAACCATGTGGCCTGGCAGTCTCCACGTATGGTTTTAGATGCAGCCTTCAAGGTCACTTTTTTTTTTTTTTTTAATAAATCAGCCTCCTCAACTCCATTCCTGCATTCCTCTTGGCCCTTGCTGCTTGCTCTCTGCCTCCAGCACTGCAGTGGTGAAGCTAGTTTGGCTAAAAGCCTTTATGATTGCAAATCTGGTGTCCATTCTTAGTCATGACATCCAGCACACTTCATGGAGTTCTGTCTTGATACCACCGCACCACCGTTTCCTTTTCCAGCTGTCTCTTCTGCCATTGCCTCCTCCTGTTCTAACTGAGTGTTCTTCCAGCTTCCATGTTTGTTTTCTTGCCAGATGGTTTCAGCCTCACCTGTGCCTTCAGCCACCTGCTGATCTACCTTGAAGACTCCCAGATGTCTGTCTCTAGTTGTGAATTCCCCACCGCCCCCCAGGCTCCAGATCATTCTCTGAAACAGCTAAGTACGTATCTCTGTGTCTTGATTTGTATGATGGTTAAAGGCGTTGACGTGGGTTTGAAGCTTAACTGTGTAATCTAGTTGCATGACCAGGGAAGTCACTTCAGCTTTCCTAAGCAGCATCTGTACAGTGGGGATGAAGATGGAGAGTGTTTGTGAAACACCGGCGCAGTGTTTAGCATGGATTCCGTCTCCTTTGCCCTGTTGCTCAGCTGGGTTCCGACCCTCCCGCCCCGTCCCCACCCCCACCCACCTGTGGAGGTTTTTCTTCTTTATCTGTTTTCTCCATCTCGCTTCGCTGCCCTCATCACCTCTGGCCTAAACTTTCGGTGTCTTCCTGAAAATTCCTTCCACTCCTCCCAGCATTTTCTCTCTGTCACATCCCTGATGAGGCTCTCCTTAAAGACCTCCATGGCTTCTCTCTCCTGAGCCCCGTGTGCACCACGCACGTCCTTTCGCCGTCTTGCCCCCGCCTCCCTTGCATTGTCCCCAGGACAGAGCCCGGCTTGTGCCACCTCCTGACTGCGGTGCCCGTCCGGGTCCTGAGGCCTCGTGTGCACTGCGCAGCCAGCCTCCTGGGCTGTTCCACTCCAGGACGGCCCAGGAGGTTGAGCAGAGACTGCCTGTCCGGCCCGGGGTCCGCTCTCCTCCTGCGGCATTTACACAAGGCGTCGTGCTGGTTGTGTGTCCGCTCCCCTGGACTGTGAGTTCCTTGAGGGCAGGGACCAAAGCTTGCCCAGAGGCGTTTCCAGTACACGTTGAATGACTTCAGAGGCCCCTGAGGGCGATTCTGGGGTGGATCACGTCCTGGGGCTGGGTGTGGAGACGAGCCTCTTAGGAGGACGGAGCGGGGCTCCCAGATGTCGGTCTCTAGTTGTGAATTCCCCCCCACCAGGCCCCCCCAGGTGTGTGCTCTGCGCTGCCTGGCAGTCTTGAGCTCACGGCAGCCGTGTTTCCTACGGCTTTGCCGTCTCCGAGGCTGGTAGTGAGCTAAACTGAGAGAAAGCACTGGCTGAATTTTCCCGGGGGAAGTGGGGCTTGGACAGAGGGCGGGCTTTCCCCACTGGGTAGGACCTGGACCAGCCTGGCCCATGATGAATTTGACCTTGATGACACCGTCGAGGGGAACAATGTCCTCAGGAAAGCATTCAGGAAGCCCTTCGTGTCGTGGTGACCGAAGTCGTGCAGCAGCTCAGCAGGGTGGACGGGAGCCCTCCGAGGCGCCCGCGGAGCCCCGGTCAGAGCCTGAGGAGCTGTGGCGCCTTTACCAGCTGGGCTCACTCTCGGCCTCTGTGGACCCCTGGGCTGACTCCGGGGAACACAGATGCTGGGAAGGCGTGGGAACGCGCGGGAGCCGGAGGGTACCACGCTGCTGGAGTGTCTCTGCTTTTTCTCTCTCCGTTTTCCCTTCGTGCCTCCCCTCTGGCTGTGGCCTGGAAGGGGAGGGTGGGCTGGCAGGTGAGGTGGAAGCCTTGGAAATGAGAGATGGAGCAGGCTTCGATGTCCTCAGTTTTTTTTTTCTTAATCATTTTATTTTTGGCCACACTGTGTACCATGAGGAATCTTAGGTTTCTTTTTTTCTTTTTCTTTTACTATGTGGCACGGCTTGCAGGATCTTAGTTCCCTGACCAGGGATCAAACCCGCACCACGGGAGTGAAAGAGCCCAGTCCTAACTTGGCCTAAGTCCTAACCACTGGACCTCCAGGGAACTCCCGGGGTATCCTCATTTTATCAAGAAGCTGGCCTAGAATGGCTGGTGTTTATCTGAAGCCCTCTTTGCGCCTCCTCCCCAAGGAGCGCAGACAGAGAGGAGAGGGGTCCCGGTTCCGCTTCTGTTCACTCAAGGGATCGAGGCCCAGAACGGGAAGCGGCTCACCCGAGATAACTCGGGGAATTCTTGGCAGCGCTGGGCTTGCGGCCACCCCACCGCCCCTCCCCTTCCCAATTTGCTGCTCGTCGTCTCAGCAAACCGGGGTCCACTGGTCTGCCCACCAGCTGACCTGAGCAAGGGGAACGCCCTTGAGCGTGTGCTGGCACCGCCACGGCCCCTCTGCTGGTGGCTGGCGTGCCTTATCTCTGCGGCCTGCTTCTCCTGCCTTTCCCTGTTTGGTTTTCCCGGCCCACAGACCAAAGATAAACCTCTGGGGCAGCTCTGCCCCTTTGATGCTCTCCAGGCTGTTTTCCCCACGTGAGGGAGGGTAGGAGGTCACCGTCTTTCCCACAGATGGAGGCCTCTGTGTTCCTCGTTTGGTCAGTTGATGACAAGGTGGATTGTTCCGCCGCTGTTTTCCCTAAACCCCTGTCCTTGGCTGGCCCCTGCCTCACCGTCCTGTGCCGGGACCTCGATGGGCTCAGATCCCAGCCCATCCCTTTCCCCTCTGAGAAATTCAGCCCTGCAGTTAGACTGCTTGGGTTCACAGCTCAGCACCGCCACTGACAGCTGCCTTTCCCAGGCTGCTTCTCTGGTTCATCTCATGTGTCCTGCGGGACCTGCATACTGCTCACCTCAGGGTTACTGTGAGGATGGAGAGAAAACACCCGTGAGGCATTTAGCACAAGAGACTTACGTGTAGTTAGCACTTAGGAAAAGTTGGTTATTTTGACTAGTGGTAGTTAAAAAAAAAGTATGTATTTATTTGGCTGTGCTGGGTCTTAGTTGTGGCACTTGCGATCTTTAGTTGTAGCACGTGGGATCTAGTTCCCCGGCCAGGGATCGAACCCAGGCCCCCTGCGTTGAGAGCATGGGGTCTTAGCCACTGGGCTTCTCTCAGTGGCTTCTCTCCTTGGCTTCAGAGGCCGTGCTCTTGATGCCTCTTCACAAGGTTGTCCCTCTTGGCCCCTGAGCCCCTGGCATCTGCGTCTAGATCTCCTCTTCTCCTAAAGGCCCTGACAGGTCGGATTAGGGCCCACGAATGGCCTCACTCTCACTTAGTCACTTGTGAAAGGCCTTGTCTCTGGATGCAGTCACATGCTCGGGTGCTCAGGCCTTCCACATATGGATTTGGGGGGGACACAGTTCAACCCATACTGGAAGGACAGAGTAGCGACGCAGAGAGGGGGAATCTCCGCCAGGGAGAGGGGCTGCGGCCAGAGCCTTGGACGCAGGTGCCCCGCCTCCTGAGGCGGGAGCGCACCGGCCCCCAGCCTGGTCCTCAGGTGAGGCTGGGGCTGGCTCCTCCTCTTCCTCACGGAAGCCTCGGAGCCGACGATCCCTGTGATCTCTGGGGTGAAGGAGCAGTCAGAGGGCTGGACCACAGGCACGGGTCCTAGCCTTCCCCTTCTTATTGGAGCCTGGACACCCTTCTGCCTCTTGGCAGCTGTTAGAGGCCAGCCGTAACCCCCGAATCTCCCCGTAGGGGCACTTTGAAGGGAGCAGCTCCAGCCATCTTGGTTTTAGCTGAACTCTGCAACTCTGGACCTTTCATGTCGGGAGGGTAGACACAGCACTGAGAATCAAGCATCACTCCTGTTCTTTTTTTCCCGGAAGGTTTCCCTGCTGGATTGGTTTGGTTCAGGATGATATTCTAGTGAAGACTTTCTCCTTGAGCTGTGTGTTCTTTGATAAAAAGCTGAACATGGGGGGAAAGTGGCTCAGAGGTTTGCTGGGATTCCGAGTCGGTCACAGATGACAGATCCAGGAGCCCACATCCTTGTCAGTTAGGCCGCCCCACTCGGTGCACTAGAGACCACTGCAAGGGCCTCCCCTGGTGCCTTGCCCCTCCCCAGCCCTCCGTACCTCCCTCTGGGGTCAGCAGCCCTGGGTCTCATGTGGCCGCGGGTTCCCGGAGGGTCCAGGAGCCAGCGTTGGAGGCAGGCATGATGGTGCTTTCAGCCAGGCTGCCAGCGGCCTCCTGCCCTGCTCGCTCCTCGAGTCCCGGGATAGCAGAGGTTCCCTGCTTCTTGGCAACGGGCTGGATGTGGAGAACCACCCTCGTCAACCTTGTTAGTCTTGGAAACCTGAAGCAGATAAAGCCCAGAAGAGTTGAGAAGGAAAAGCTGCTTGCTCCCAGAGCTCAAATGAGCGTGGGGCCAGGTGCTTCATGGTTATCTCATTTACTTCCTTTGTGGGAAGGACACAGACTCAGAGGCTAAGTCACAGGTGGAGGAGGCGGTGGGAGGTATGCCCTGGGCTGGTGGCTTTGGGTTCTTCGTACCCCCAGGAAAGCTGGCTGTCGCCCCCTTCACCCTGTGACGGTGGAGGGTGGGAAAGTTGGTGAGGGCTTCCTCCCCTCCTTCCTTCCATCTCCAGAGACCTCTTTGTTCTGCCCGATTCCTGGACTCGCAGAACCCGGGCTCCTGCTGGCCGAGCTGCTGGCTCTCAGGTCTCCCGTGGCTGCGGGCGATGAATAGGTTGTCACTTCTTGACCTCCCTGCTCCCCACAGCAGCCTCCCCTCCCACCAGTGACCACAATGGCCCGAGGCTGATTCAGTGCCCTGGTATTGAAGCCATAGAACAATGCTCACAGTGGCAGGCTGCTGGGGGTGGAGGTGCAGCCCCCTGCCCCTCTCCAGGGTTGGGGGAATTTCAGTGTCGGGAAGGTGGGTGGGTGTCCTAGAGCGGGTGTGAGAGGAGTGGAGTGAAATGTATCCTCCCCTTTCCTGTATCTGAACCTGTCTCCCGGTGCCAAGCAAGGCTGGGGAGGTCTGGCTCTGCCTTGGAGTGACCCTGGGCTGGTGACCTAGCTTCTCTGTGTGCTTGTCCTTATTTTCTTAAAAAGATTGTTTTTATTGAGTGTAGTTGATGCACAATATTATGTTGCAGGTGTACAACAGAGTGATTCACACTTTTTAAAGATTATATCTATTTATAGTTACTATAAAATATTACTGCAAGGAGATCCAACCAGTCAATCCTAAAGGAAATCAGTCCTGAATATTCACTGGAAGGGCTGATGCTGAAGCTGAAACTCTTAATACTTTGGCCGCCTGATGCGAAGAGCTGACTCCTTGGAAAAGACCCTGCTGCTGGGAAAGATTGAAGGCGGGAAGAGAAGGGGACGACAGGATGAGATGATTGCATCACTGACTGCATGGACATAAGTTTGAGTAAACTGTGGGAGTTGGTGATGGACAGGGAAGCCTGGCGTGCTGCAGTCCATGGGGTCGCAAAGAGTCGGACGCAACTGAACTGATAAAATATTAGCTATGTTCTCTGTGCTGTACAACATATTTTTGTAGTTTATTAATTTATACATATTAGTTGGTACCTCTTAATTTTCTACCCCTATCTTGCCCCTCCCTGCTTCCCTCTCCCCACTGGTAACCACTAGTTTGGGAGTGTCTCTTTTGTTGTTTTTCACCAGTTTATTTTTTAGATTCTGTATATAGGCGATAACATATAGTATTTGTATTCCTCCATCTGGCTTATTTCAGTGCTTGTCTTTAATATGAGGTTTTACTCCCTCTGTCACCAGATGGTCGAGGGGGAGAGCACTAAGCATTGTACCTGACTCCACAGAAGACCCTCCGGACGCTTGCCCTGCTAGTTGGCAGGCGGTCTTGATCTCTTTGGCCAGCTCCTTCTAGGGTGCACAGTGCTTGGAGAGGCAAAGCCTGGGAAAGCCTTTTCCTGAGTCCCACTGGAGCTCAGCGGGGCAGAGGCGTCCCCGCCTCTCCGGCTATTGCTGTGCTGTGCTTTTTTTTTTTTTTGGACAAGGAGGAAGCTGAAGGAATTGTGATCAGCTCCTCTGGGGAGATAAGGTGGAAGGGTAGACTTAATAAGCATTCATAAGCCTATTGAAGGTTATCGTTCGGGTCGGGTGACCTGCGGACAGGGGAAGTGCGCTTACAGTGTACCCGAGGTATGCGAGTAGCATGGGAAAGCCTTTCCCAGCAGAAGGCCTGGGATCCTGGAATTGGGCACAGGCGGGTGGGGTTGGGGGGGGGCGGTGGTGACTGAGGAAGGCTGCAGACTCTTTAAGAATAGGTCCTCTGTTGTGCCTGGGCTGGGGTGGGGTTTGGCCGGGAGTCAGGTGAGACTGGTGGCTTGGGGGGTGGGGGTGGGGAGAGGGTTGAATAGTCCCTGGGCCTGGGGGGTGGACTCTGCCCCTGCCCCCAGGCCTGCCGTGCTGTATTTTCGGAGACAGCACAGGAAGTGGGCCTTCACAATGTCAGGATACAGGAAGCTATCGGACTATTGAAGGCCACTTCCTGTGAGCTGGTCACTCACATACATTTGTCACCGGTTATCAGGCCTGTTGGGCCCTGCCATTGTCTGGAGGGGCTGCAGGAGCCAGGGGGCCGCCAGCAGAGGCTCCTGGGCGCAGAATGCTCCATTGTGCTGGACTGGCAGCACCCCACGGGGCGGGGGGTGGGGGGGGCCCGCCTGCCTCTCATTGTCATCCCTTGCACAATGGGCTTGGGGGCTGGGGTCCGCTCCCGCTCCTGGGAACTTGAACTTCTGGGAGAAAGGATGACTGTAGCGGGAACCTGGCTTCAGGTGTGGTGCCCAAGAGAGCTGGAAAGGAGATCAGGCACTTTGTTAGCAGGTGGGTTTTCTAGATCTCTACCGAGAGCCAGTGTGAGAAAAAATGGCCTGGGAATCAGGCAGACCTGAGTTTTGAGGTCCTACTCTGCCCCCCTCGAAGGTGTGACTTTGGGCAAGTTGCTTCACCTCTCTGAGCTTCAGTCTTAACTCCTGTAAAGCACAAATAGTCATATTACTTGCGTAACTTGTTGAAATTCTTAGCTTGGTACCTGGCAAGGCTTAGATGTCTGGGCAATGTTAGTCCCCTCTCCACCCTCATCTCTTTCCCTTCCAGCTCACTTCTGACCTTGCTGTCTGGTTCTCTGGTGAGTGAGCGAGTCACTGTGAAGAGGGGGTGAAGAGGTATTTTAATATCAGCCCAAACAAACCGGAGCTCTGTCTTCCTTTATGCCAAGAATATCATATCAGCTGTTAATTATCTGCACTAATGGAAGGCGCAGAAGCAGATAATTTCTCTTTGGCCATGTGCCTTTGGCCTTATGTGTGGGTCTGGGTGTGTCCGAGTTCTAGAAATGCACTTCAGACCAAGTAATGAGGTTGTAACAGGACAGACCTCGCACAGGAAGAGGCTCATTAGAGCACCGTCTGGCTGCCCGCGGCTTTGCCCTCCCAACCCTGAGCCGTCAGTGCCAGGGAAGGGCACCCGTTCCTCAGCCGCGTGGTGAGGTAGAACACTGTGGACATTGGAGTCAGACACTTGGGTTCCGACCTTGACTCCAGCCCTAACTAACTGTGCAGCCCCAGGTGAGTTCCTAGACTTGTTGAGTCTCGGTCTCTTCATTTGTCAAGTGGAGATAATTGTATTGACTTTGCAGGGTTTCTGTGAGGATGAAATAAGGTAGATATGCTTTCCTTTCTCTTCTTCCCCCTCTTGTCTCTGTCACTCCAGCCCTACCTTGGACAGAGAGCCCTTCTGAGCGTTGGGTCATCTCCAGGCTGACAGTGTTCCACGGCCCGCATGCAGGTACGAATCCCGACTGCCTCGACCTGGGGGAGCGACTACCGCCATGAGACCCTTTACCCCAAAGGCTGCAGCTCTAGACCCTCTTCCCCCTTTCTCTCCTGTCCTTGATGTAGACACTGGAACCGGTCACGTGGCCTTGCTGGCCTCCAGTATCAGTTCTGGGGCCTCAGGATCTTAGTTGTCTCACCCCAGCTGCACCTACCTTCCCAGCTGATGTCATTTTAAGACCTGCTTTGCTTCCTGACCTGCTTTGGGCTTTCGTTGTGGCTCAGCTGGTAAAGAATCCACCTGCAGTATAGGAGACCTGGGTTCCATCCTTGGGTTGGGAAGATCCCCTGGAGAAGGGAAAAGCTACCCACTCCAGTATTCTGGCCTGGAGAATTTAATGGACTGTATAGTCCATGGTGTTGCAAAGAGTCAGACACGACTGAACGACTTTCATGTTCGTGTTGCTTCCTGACACCCCAAGTAGCCTTGTTGGTGTCCCTCTCCTCACCCCTCGAGGGGCTGGGCTGGGTTTCCGTACTCCTGAGCTGCGGGACTGGGGTCCTGCTCTGAATATACTCATCTCCTGAAACTCCAGTTCTGAAATCTGTCTGCCTTGAACATCAGACTGGCTGAAATCATTAGTGTTGGGCTGGATCTTGCCTGTGGGGGAGCTCACCCTCCCTGCCCATGTCCCAGCTTCCCGTCCTTTCCCAGCAGCTTGCACCAATAGTGAGGTCCAGCCTGCCTCCAGCAGAGACCAGTGGTGTGGGCCCTGTGCTTGCCCACCTCGGGCGGGCGCCACTCACAGCGGTCAGAGTTCAGAGGAGCTTG